GCTGTGATGTTTTTGTCCAGCCCTTCTCATGATTTTGTTTTCGCCCGTTCTTGGTGAGTCACACAGCTTTTTAGATTATGAAACAGATCGAACATACAGAGCTGGGGTTACTGTCTATTTATAGGATCTCATATCCAACTTTTTAATCCTGCTTTGATGCTTACATGGAACACTGAGGCCTGCGATACACTGGGTGATGTAACAGGTTAGTGGGTTTTTAAACCTCTCCACAGCATGAGTGGATGGTGATATATGACTTATAATCTATCAGCCATGCATGAGCATCTGATGTCTGCAGTCTGTGAGCTGCAGCACCATCAATCAGATGGTAAAGGCGATATTCATTAAGAGGCTTTGAGTGTTCGACGAGGGTAAGTGCTTCACCGTAAGCACTGCAGTGTGTTTATAGTGTGGCATGCACGCTGCATCAGTGTGTGTGTATACTTGTTATCAAATGTGTGTAGCCATCATAATCATAGACAACATCGTTATTTGATTTAGTTTTTTATTGGAATACATATTTGCTCGCTATCACAACACTGTCCATCATATGCGTGCGTTGCCTTTTTTGCTGACTGTGTTCTACACTGACACACGGCGTGCACACATACACACATACACACTTTCATCTTCAAGATAACATCGGTATATAAGGCAACCTCCATTGCAGACGGGCATCAGCGTCACTGCTCTCGCCGTTTGTCACGAGAGCGCAAACGTCTCGTCTGTCCGGCTGAGTGAGTCTCATCATTTAAACTTCAACAACTTCGTGAATAACAAATAAACAGAAACTGTTGCTATGAAATCTAAATGCTGTTTACTGACTTTGCTTTCCAACAATATATATTTCCAACACGTATGCGAAAATGTTTATAAAAACTAGCCTATTTATTAAATATAGAACAGTCTCCAGGTAAGCACATAGTTCGCTGATTAATCCAGCTGAGATTATGCCACATAATGTCCTTAAAAGCTTCCAGTGTGTCACTGTTACATGTCATACAGGATTTGCTCCCAGATAATATGATATATGGAGGATAATATTATGATATATAACCATGTTTATAAAGCTAAGAAATTAGATGCTATTTATTCTAAGTATTCTCTCAATGCAGCCTTTATATAACATTCTTTGCTTAAAACATTATTTCAAAATAAACAAAGATTCTTTGATTATGATGCACAAAGCTGTCTGTTACTTTACCCTCTGAAACCAGCAGGATCAGTCACGTGATACTTCGAAATGCAAAGATTTGATTGGTTTAAAACTGTGAATGGCGACCGCGAATGATTAACATTCATGTCACAACTCTGCAGTTTCATTCAGTCCTTGCTTCCCTCTCGGCTGGCGCTATGCCCGACTTTGCCACTTGAGGGAGCTCACATAAAATCCAGCAGCATACCTTTAACAGTTCAGTGGCTCATTTCAGAGGCACGATGTAAATGTGAGAAACGTGGAGATGTGATGTAAAGGAATGATCATCTGATCTGCAGCGGAGAGTGTTTCACACATCTGCACCACAAGATCCCTTCAGAGGTCTGCACATGACTATCAGTGACTCAGTACTTACACAATGAATTAAATACATTCAAATTCGCTTCAGTAATACATTATGTAGAGTTACAGTATGTCATTTTAAGCTATTTGTAATTGTACAGTTTTCCTCGTCAATTAGCAGCAAGAAATCCTGTCGCCCATGAATGAATCAGACTCTCGTCCTTCATCAGTAAACTCCCCTCATGAACTCTGCCCTCACATAAGGTCAACAGAGACGAGCTCTGGAAATAAAACATTACAAATTAACAGAGAAAAAAATATTTGATGCTTTCAGATTATACGTGATCAACAAAAAATGACCTACATGCATGTCCTGATTTGGCAGCCCTCCGACCGTGATTACATAAAGCACATTGCCCTACCGGCTCGTCTCCCCGTCAAGACACAGAAGCTTCGTTTCAGGGAATCAATACAGCAAAGAAACATCCATTTATATTGCCCACGAATGCGTCAGGGCTTCTAATCAAACACTGACCTAAATCTATCCACAGTGCTGCAGTGTAACCACGACCACTTCAGATATTAAACACCATCTGAAAGTCACACGCTGTAAGTGTCGTCTGCGAGTTTGTTATTTTTAACCATACTTGACTAATCTAAAGAAAAATAATCAATCACAGATAACATCAGAAGCACAGGTCTGTCCATGTGTTGAGAGTATAGTCAAACTAGACGACGAACACCATGACGAGTCTGTTTATCTGACATGATAGGACTTCCTCATTTTGTTATGTGGCTGAATACAGAGCGATCATCCATGTAGTTTGATTGTCTATGAACTAAATGTCAGAGAGAGAGCGAGGCACCAGACGTAAGGTAGGACATGTAAAACCAAACGGTAAACAAATAAAGAAGTCTCTCTATATAAATATAAACTCTAGAATCGTCCCATATCTACCGAGTTGGTCTGCGTTTGATCAGTGCACACAAATATAAAATGGCAGTTCTGAACAAATTTTCTCTGATCCCGGGTCAGCGTCGTCATCCCTGCCTTCTACGTCTCCCCGTGTGGCGAAGAGGTCAAACTAAGCTTGTGTGGGCATCTAAAAGCAGCTATGCCAGTCTATAAAATGCGCATAAAAGAGAGAAGGCACAGAAACACAAACCCACTGCAGAGTGGCGTGGACAGACAGCAGCAGACTGGACGAAGCCACAGGTCTGCCTGCAACAGACGAGTCTGTGTGCAGAGGTTTTATATCTGCTGTCTCCTTTTCACCGTTTGTTTTGAACCTCTGCGTATGACTGAATCGCCCATCGTCTGTCTCCTGGTTCTGCCACGAGCACGGCCACAGACGTGTCAGCCACCACAGCCAGCAGATGATGAGCCGAGACGAGGTGACTCAGAAGTGTTCTTCACCCTGTTGACAACACCGTCTTCTTCATTTGATCCGTGGTGTAATTACCCCCAATGACCCCGAACCTACACTGAGCACAAAAAGCTGCTGCACTTAAAAGTCCCACGACAGAACAGATCTACGCTGCTTTTTGTCTTTCAGATCAAACTGAAAAGGGAAGCTACAGGTTCACATGCACCTAGTCTCATTTCATCTTCTTCTGCTGCGTTATTTGATTGGCTGTCTTTGACTGACCAGCTTCTGTCTTGGCCACAGTCACATTTGCTGGCACTTCTTGCCTCTTTCCCTGTTTGAATGGGTCTCCTGTCTTGCTGGTGCTACGTCGGTGGGCAGGGGTTGTTGCTTTCACAGGAATGGGGACCCTGCCCAGGGCCAGATGGGGGTCTTCTCCAATGTTGACGGTCAGGTTGGTGTACAGCGGCTCAAGCTCTTTGGAAAGCAGCTCATAGGTCAAAGAGTTAAGGCCGTCAGAGCGCCAGTTGAGCCTGGTCCTCTTCAAAAGGTCAAACCTAGAATGACGAAAGCCATATTAAAGATTGTGTGAAGGTTCACCCATAATAAAGCTTTTCATCTGGCTCTCTGCACGGAAGCAAAGATGTATATATGGCAAAAATGACAACGACTTTCCATAAAAGTTGATAAAAGGCTGATGACATGGAGAATGAGACCTAATTACGTTTTAGATACAATCAGTCTGAAGACGCAAGCCCTGAGGGAAAGTAAGCAGAGAACAAACTCTGTGCAAATCACTGTGTCAGCAGACAAAAAGCAACAACTATGATGGTAAAAACTCAACATGAGAACAGTTGGAGACAAGAAAAGTTCGTGACATGATCGGTCATTTGAATATCTTCCCCTTTACTGAGGCAGATCTTCCATTAGATCAGATGAAGAAAGAGAAGTCTTTACATGCCTGTGAGTGTGCCAGCACGTACCTGCGTGGGTTTTGCTCATTGCCTCTGTCTCCTTTATGCTTGATCATCTTGTAATGGCCAATGGCCACTGGAGGGCGCACAATCTTCATGCCAGACAGACGCACTCTGGATCAGCAGCACACAACAGTAAGCCGAAAACAGACTCTTAAACATGTGCTGCATAAAACTGCAAAGCTAATCTCACAAAAACAAACTTTACATGAACATCTAGCCCCCTGCATTTAAAGAAGGAAAAATCAGGAGGGTGAAAACGTACTGCCATGTCTTATGGGTGGAAGAATATCTGCGCTTCCCTTTTTCTTTTCCATCTGTTGCTTTTGTACGACTCCAGTTATCTAAATCAACCAAAACAGGGTGTGACTGATGCTGCGAATGTGCTCTGGATGATATAATTTGCAAACATCGTGCACAAAAGGCAGTGTTTCCAAAGGTTGTGAAACATTCTTGGATGTGTTGTCCTAATTAAATTTTATTGTTGCATTCAGTTCTCACAGATTGGCAAATGCTGGAAAAGCCACAGAGTGGAAAGAGGGGACCACAGTAAAGAAATGAGAAGAGTTTGAAACTCTTAAGCACACAGCCTAGTCCAAGTCTGCAAGCTAGTGCATGTAACATACCCATCGTGCCCACTGCAAGACATACAGAGAGCAAAGCCACAGCAATGGGAGGAGACATGAAGATGAAAGATGATGTTAGGACATAAAATATAAGTCAAAGCAAAAGAAAACATGCGGTGCTGAAGCTGTAAACATGAGAAAATGAGTGAAAAAGTACAAGAAGAGGCAAACTGATGGTTATGCATGTAGTTCTGATCCCAGCATGCACAGTCTACACTTCACTCTGTCATCATGCAGCGTGTCTGCCTCATTTATCCTCTTTACCTGGCAGCAATGTCGTCATCCTCCCCGCCCCAACCCCAGTACTGGTTAGGGAAGCCGTTCATCTTCATGTACTGGTCCGGGGTCACCGCAGATACCCCGCCAAAATACTGTGAGTATGGCAACCTGGGAGGGTCACAACATGCACAATCTTGAAAATAATGTCTCAGGGCAATGCAAATGTATGAAAGACCAGCCCC